GGTTTTCTGATTCACTATGTTCTAACCTGAATTACGTGTATAATTTATCAGTACTCATAGCACCATTTTATATATAGAATTCTGGACAGCTTATTGCTGCAGCCTTCTAGATTACACAGGATTTGTTGTTAAGGTTTAAAGTGTGCTCTGTCTCTGTGTGGTTTAAGAAACTTAGGTGTGGCACAGCTTTTGGAATAGTCAATACCTAAGAGAGAATTTTTTTTTCCCCTGCTCTCCTGGAAGAATCAATAGGAGTTATGTCTGGTTAATAACATAACATTGCTAGCAGCCACCATCTGTGTCTTGATTCAGTTTTTTAGTAACTCATCATGCATATTAATGAGCATGTCCATAAACAGGTCCCACCATTTAGCGGGGTTAATGCCAACAGTGGACTCTTAGTCATTCTTCAGCTGACTTGTATGAATTTATTTCTTGAATGCGTTTGTGAAAAGGCATTTCAGATTCTCCATTGCATGCTACCCAGAAGCACCTACAAGTGCTTTGTAAAGTTAACCTCTATCCATATGTAAGGCGTTAAAATTTTAGCAATGTGCAATTTTAGAATGCCTTTTTCCTTAACCAATTGTGAAAAATTTGTGTATTAGAGGTTGTAAAGGTTAAGCCATAATTGTAGGTATAATAAATAATGGTTGAATGGGAAATACTTCAGGAGACATTTATATTTCTTTTCTGTTTTTATTTATTTATTTAATACTGTTATAATTTGGTGGTGACTTCTTGTTTTTTTGGCTTACAAATTCTTTATTTTCTTTTACATTTTTATTGCCAACATTTTTTCACAGTTCCAGATATGGCTCTTTTAAAATTTTTATAACTAGAACTAGTACAGGTCTTTGGGGACTTAAATTTTTCTTAATATGTTTTTTATTTATTTTGCTGTGGGTGGGGCACAGACTTGGAAGTCAGAGAATAACTTGCTGGAGTTAGTTCTGTTCATCCACCATGTGGTCCTGAGGACTGCACCCAGGTCATCAGGCTCATCAGCAGATGCCTTTACCCCCTGAGCCATCTCACCACTGCTGGAATGTTTTCTGATTTTAATAGGCTTTCAAACCTAAGTGTTCTGTACAAGGAAGCTAGTATGTTAAGGTATAGTATATAAGTGAATTAGAAGTCTATGTTTCATTTGTATTAGTGGAGTAGAAGATTGGATTTTTCTTCCAAAATGATGCTTTACCCACACTTTGAGGTAAATAGACTTTTCATATCTCCATTAAAAGGGAAAACATTCAGGTTATTATTAGAATAATGAGTATGGTTGTAGTTATTCAGTTAAATGGCATATTAAAGCCAAGAGTTAGTTTGATTTTTCACATGTTAGGAACACACACACACACAGTTGTCAACTAGCATCATGATCTATGAACCATTACATCACTAATGTGTGAGTGGGTCTTTACCAACCTGCATCATGGTCTGAAACACAGTATCACTATAGAGTGCACTGGGCATATATTTTCCCTATAACTTTATTTCCAGGCAAATTTGTCTTCAGATCTTGAGATTTTTTTGTGATCATCATATTTACTTTGTACTTAGAGTTCTTAGAGTTGGTAGCTAGAAAAGGTAACATAAAGCATATGTATTTCTTTCATGTTTTACTTAACTGTATAAATGCATTTGGGGGGGTGATAGATGATAGAACTGCAGTTAAATTCAGACATACTCAGAGATGACCAAAACAACCAAACAAAAGAAACCAAAAAGCAGGAAAATATTCCAAAGAAAAACAACATTTTAAGGAGAAAGTTCTTGCACCACCTGTCTGCCCGAGACAAGCAGCTGCAATTGTGTAGTGTTTCGTCCTTTGATGTAATTGTGTAAGCATTGTCTGTTGGTATGCAATGGAAAAGTATTGTTGAAGTATTATCCTTTTTTGTAGAAATTCTGTGAAATTTTCTATGAATTTCATATATAGAGCACAACTCACATTGGGCTAGCCACATTTTAAGGGCTTAGTGTCTGTAGTTAATGGCTGCCATCTTGGATAGTGTGGCTCTAGACAGTCCTGTCAGGCCTTTAGATCACAGCTCATAATTTCACAGGAAGCCTCTGATCTCTGGGTCTGTTTTCTTTCCCCTGCAGTCTTAGGGAGTCACACTCCTTTCGTCTAAATGCTAAAGTGCTTACCACACTTGTAAGTTATAATGTAATGAGTAGGATTCCTTAGATTGTCTTGTCCATTTATCTGTGTTTGCAGTGAGCACCATAGCTGAAGTTAGACTGCATGTGCTTGATTAGACTAATAGAAACTGCATTTGGGAGAACTTGTACAGGAGCACACAGTTTTAAAATCAGGCACAAATTTCTTGAATAAATTTCTGTGGTTTTAATTATAAATTGCTCACTTCAAATGGTGTTTTTAAGATATTGTTTCTGTAATCTGCCCTGTATTGTAGTTAGTAGGAAGCTTTCAAATTATAAAAACTATATTTTAGTTGATTTAATAGATTTATAAAAGAACTTTAGTAATTCTAAATCTTCATTTTTTTTTAAAGATTCTGTGCATCTGAAAATTAGAGTAATATAAGTTACTATTTAAAATGGGTTTTTATAAGGATGAAGATTTTCAGATAGAACTTACTGAGAAAAACTTTTTAAAAAGAGCATTTGCTGTAAACTTGATAAAAATAGTTAAATTGTGTGATTCACAGCATGATTATTTAAAATCAGATTACGTTTTGGGGCTGGAGCCATGTCTCCCTGGTTGAGAGAACTTGTTGCTCTTGTACAGAATGCAGGTTTGATTCCAAGCACCCACAGGACAGCTCACAACCATCTGCAGTATCAGTTCTAGGGGATCCAAATGCCCTCTCTGGCCTCCATAGGCGCCAGGCATACATGTGGTACATACTATACATACAGCCAAAACACTTACACACATACAGTCATAAAGTAAATAACCCAAACCTAAAAAGAAATTACATTTCGATCCTATTTTAAGTAGTCAGAGGTTGGACTATATAGTCTTGTCTCTGAGAGAAATTAAATATCCCTGGTGTAGGTAGCCTGATACTTTTAAAGACTAAGATTTCATTGTGAAGCTGATCTTTTAAGTGTAACTTAAGTGTATAGTAGACATTCATTAATGGCAGGTGGCCAGTGAAGAACATTTGAGGCAAAGGAACACCAGACACAGTCACAGGAATGCTTCATCACGGTTGTCATGTTAAATTAGAGGCAAGTAATTCAGTCTAGCTACAGAGAAATGTGTACATGCTGCAGCGGTACTAGGAAGTCTGTCTTTGTTATAACAACACAAGCTACCTGCTGGGACCTCAGGACATGACAGATATGATGAGCACATATTTGGGAATATTGTACAACATTTTTGAGCTGATCTTGCTCTTTACAACTGCTTAGCTCTGTGGGCCCTAACCCACCCCTGTGACATGGGAATTAGTCTTTTTGAGACTAATTTCTCATGATCTTTTTAAGTTCTACTAGGGCTCTCTTAAAGATTTTGTTACCTCTCAACATTGCCATATGTGGCAACTGTCTTACAACACGTAGTTTCTTTAAGCAAAATATTCACACTACATCTAGGCCATAGCATTTGTTTCTTCTCTGGAGGAGAACAAAATGATGGAAGGGAATTCTGGAAAATATAAACAGTGAGATGTCACTTACGGCAATCAATCAATAAATGGCATGCCAGGCTCACTGTAAAGTGTGGAGATGAGAGTACAGTACGTACTGTTTGTAACTCCTACCTCCCAGCTCTTTCAACCCTTTCCCACTTCCCCTTAGTTCTGCCCACAAAGATAGTAGAGAGTGAAGGACAGGGCTCAAGAGTGGTAGACTTATCTTTAAATGCATGCTCATTGATGTATCTATGTTTTAGTAAATTTTGATGAGAACTTAATATGTATTAAGTTCACTATTAATTATCAAAGGGCAGGATATGTTTTATAAAGTAAAATTCATTCTGAATGAAATCATCTAGTCATCCTTCAGTGTTTGCCAGGATTTTACTGTAAATTATTTCATTTGTAAATAGTAGCATAATCTTGCTGTATGATTTTTTTCTATCAACTTAAAAGATTAAGAACTGGTTTTAAAAGACTGGGTGTGATTGGGAAGGGGGTCTCACACCTATAATTTAATCATTTAAGAGGCTTGAGCAGGAGGAGTTCAAGGAGTTTGAGCCCAGCTTGGGTTATACAGTGAGTTCAAGGTCTAAGGGGGAAAAGGATTGCATTTACATCGAGCTTTTAATTTTACATCGTATAGTAGTCTATTTTTCACTTTGTTGGCAGGATTTAAGAAATAAATTGGAAGTTTGTGTAGGGTAGCTTGTGAATGTGTAACATTATCAAGCATTATAACTAGAGGTACTTGGTGGGATAAACCTTGAAACCACATTTCCCCTTGTGTCATTTAAGAAACGCATAGGGGCCAAAGTTGCAGTTAAAGCCCCACTCATTTGCTTTCTATCCCAATCTCGTAAGGTGACCAGCCTCAATTTTTAGGAAAGCCACCCTAATCTTAGTGGTTGCAGGAGTCATGGCTAGTAGATTGCTATCTCTTGGCCAAGGCTGTGCTGCTGTTTATGCGAGCAACAGTGACAAAGCAGAGAGGAGCCCTGGACTGAGCCTTTCTCCTTTGTGCTGGCTCTAAGTATTCTGGAAAGAAACTGAAAGCCTTTTCTTATTGCTGACTTTCATCCTCAAACAACATTTTGGGGGCATCTCAAGATTGTCGTTTGATGGGCGTTTGGTTTTGTTCATTTCTACCCTAAGTAAAGTTTTGTATGGTTTAGAATAGGTTCTTACTTTGTATGCTGTCTCACAGATAACAAAACAGTATACTTGATAAGCGTTAAATTTCACACATTTTAAAATAAAATTTCCTATTGTATTTTATCCATAAAATTAATATTGATAGCCTTGCTTTTTCAAGGACAGGGTTATAGGAATTTGTCAAAAAGTTAATGTTTTGTTTAAACAAATTAAAATGTTTGTTTCCCCACACAGATTTGAATTCTGTGAACCCGCATTTGTGGTGGGTAATTGCCTTCAGATAGCTTCTGACAGTCATCAGTATGATCGAATTTACTGTGGAGCTGGAGTCCAGAAAGACCATGAAAACTACATGAAGATCTTACTCAAAGTTGGGGGCATATTGGTCATGCCTATAGAAGATCAGGTACCTTCACTGTCCTGCATTTGTCTTGTCACAGGACATTTGTGACATTGGGAATTAGGACTCTGTGATAGGGAAAGACACATTGTGACTTTTGAAGAAGAAACAAGTCTTTACAGATCTATGTATGTTCATAGAAAGAAGCCTGAAAGAGATCCTTAAGTGCATTAAGCATAGCTGATGTAGAAAGGAAGTGTGGCAGGAAATGAGAGCCCACTCAGCTACTCAGGCTCAGTCAGTCAGTTCCTCATTTGGTAGGTATGCAATTGAATGCAAGTCTTCAGCCTGTAACATGTTAAGTCTGGCTTGTGACTGCCTTCAAGTGCTTATCTTCATAAATAAAACAAGTTATTAAAAAATTTATTGAGGGGCTGGAAAGATTGTTCAATAGGTAAGAATGATAAAAATTATAGAGATGTGTCTGGAAGGACCAGGGATATTTTTGAATGGTAGAGGGCTTACCTGTCAGGTGAAGCTATGAGTTCCATGTCTAGCAGTTCACACACACACACACACACACACACACACACACACACACACACACACACACACAC